AAATTGATCTTAAAATGGAGTAAATAATAATGTATAGAGCTGTCAGAGATACAGCTAATTGAAGACATTACAGTAGCAATAACTTAAAGTACTGACAGTCAGGAAATATTCTATGAGTGACTTTTAGAAAGGCATGTTTGTTTCCCTCTTTTAGTTACTGCTTTTTTTTTCCCCCCCAACTTGGGCAAAAATCAGTTAAAAGTATTGTTTAGATTTGTAGCTAGTGTCATTGAATTTGGCAGTAACTGTACTGCAAAGGTTCACAATCTTATCTTAACCAGTTTACACTCATGTGTTAGCACTTGCTACTCTTCCCTTGTCAAATCAACAGCCAGGCTGCTTGACCAGTTGCTAAAAAAGACTGGCCAGCATTATGGTATGACCTCTCAGAATCAAAATGCAGCTGACATTAAGGCCAAGGCACAAAAAATTGAAATCCACAGGTCCAGCTAGATGCCACTGTTTGCCTCCATATTTTCTCATCCTTGAGGAAAACTATGCACCTGGATTATTCCATGGCTGTGCTCACAGTTGGAGAGGCAGGTAAAAAACTACTACTGTACCGCAAGCAGAGATCCCCTTTCAAGTCCTTTCATCAGCAGCTGATGGAGGAACGTTGGCTCTCGTGATATGCAATGCAGCTGTGACCACACAGCCATGGACCTCTCCATTCGGTCCAGGGCTGTGTCTGCTCACACTGAGTGTGCCAGTGTGCATTAGTTGAAGTTGATGCTCAACTTCAACAACTTCAGCAGGGTCCCTGTGGTTGGGCTGCAGCCTGTTTCAGTATACTTGAAAATGCAGCCTTTGCCATATTACAGTCTCAGATCTAGACAATCGTGCAGGTGAACTGTGTATACTTAGGCAGTGGTTAGAGAAGATTCTTATGCTGTATGAAGTTGCCATATCTAGCTAAAAAGTCCAAGTGACTGTGAATTTTAAAGTCATTGCTGGTGTTGGTGTGAATTTTGCTGTTTTATATAGTTGTGGCAGGAAATATTACAGTAAATGAGAAATAAAGAATATTTCTTCACAGATAAGTTGCCTCTTAAATCACAGTTCATCAGAGACCTGAAATATTAGAAAAAACCCTCACAGAATCATGTAACCTAGTATGGCAAAAGAGCACTTTCACACACTACTCTTGTTTGTATCCATAGCTAAATTGTGTGACTGTAGCATGATGTAACCACTATCTGAGTTGAATAAATCTTAGCGCAAATAACAGTGAAGAAGCAGTGACAGTGGCTGTAAGATATATTTGTCTACAGCAGCAGCCAGAGACACGTGCTTGAAGTGATCTGCATAAACAAATTTTACCGATAATCTGGATGTTAGTGTGCTGAAACCTACATAGTTGCAATTGCACTCTGCTATCTATGCCAGCTAGCCCAGAAACATAATCATGTGATCCTTGATTTTTTGTTTAGATATACTTTATGGAGCAGCATAATTTATCTCACCCAACTTCACCAGTCTAATGTTTGTGTATTTACTTGAAGGCATTCCTTTAACCTCTTACGTTGATTCCAGTTTTCATAGATTCTACTGCAAGACAGAATGAATGAGCTGCTTGTCCTTTCTTTGGCGGGAGGCTAAAAACTGGCTTAGATTAGATGCCTAAATAAAGTTAGGAAAAATGAGTAGTATTTTGTAGGCTAAATCTATTATTTGCTCAAGTAGATGTGTCTGAGGCTAAATGTGACTTTTTTTTTTTTTTTTAAACAGCACTAAGATATCACATGGCAATGGGAACTGCATAAAGCACACAAAGAAACCTCAAACCATTCCACTGTAAGGAATTATCCTCATTAAAATAAATCCATCACTTAAAACTAAAAGACCTTAGAAAATGCAGCATCTTTGTTATTCTTTGGACATAAGAATACTCAGCAGAAGTACACATTGCCATCTTGATGCTGCATTTGGGGAAACTGAGCAAAACAAGAGCTTCACAGAACAGTCACAAAAATGCTCCCTGATTTAGACAGACTGATCTGGTTTCTAGTCAAAAAGCTGTTCAGCGCCAACTGAAATGGTAGCTTCTCACTAATTATGAAAAATAAAGGCTGGGTCTTAGAAAACACAAAGGTTTGTTTTGAATAAAATGAATTACCCAAGGTCACTTATGAAGTCAGGAACTGACTTGATAACAGAAACTTGACACCATCTTCCTTCTTCACTTGCACATATAAGACTAAATGAACAAGTTTTTAGAAAATATAGTAGGAGACATGAATTTCATTGATAAGAAACTTGCAAAGTATTTTTATAAATATGAATAAATAAGCATACATGCAACTAAGTAGTAATACATATAAGGTTTATATGCCCTTCATATAAACTTCAATGTTTATTTCCCACAGGATTCTCAGGATAGCTTTTAAAACATTACAGGAGATGTAGAATAAAAGCTACAATGGAAATTCCTTGACTTATAGTTTACTGTAAGTTGATGTGTGCATCTCGGGACTGATTCCTCTTCTTTCACTGGTCCCTAGTATGTGCTCAGCAGCTGGCACGCACACTCAGCAAGACTGGAATTTGGGAGTAACAAGAAGCTACAATCTCTATAAATGTTAGAAAAAGGATTCTAGCTTTTTTGATGAGATGACCACAACTGAAAAAATCCCCAACACCCAAGAACTTATTTGAAGGCATAAAGCATTTCTTAGCCAAACTGGAATTTGCATTTTTACTTATAACAAAGATTTATGAGACGGGTTGCTGTTGGCTAAGCCATTGTATATGCAAAGCAATGTTGTAACATGGGAGTTTACTGTTAGCTGATTATATTTATTGAATCACGGTGTTGAATCTGCCAGCCTTGATGACCCAAAGTTGCAGCTGTTTTCTATTCTGTTGACAAAGACTTTGCCCTTTAATTTTTTTCCAAGATGTCTTGGAAAATGCCTCAGTATCAGGGGTATTTCAGCAGGGATAGTATTGGATAATTTTGCCAAATGATGACTTTTAAGCATCTAAATCCAGCCATTCTGTAATTTTAAAAAACAGAATTTCCAGAAATATTATCTCCCATTGTAGCTGCAGTTACATGCCTCTCAGCTTACCAACAGTGACCAAGATCAATGGGGAGGGGGGGGAAAAATCCACATTTCAAAGTTAGTCATGTAAACACTTGTATTTATAAAACCTGTCGCAGAGAAATGAAATGCACTACTATGTGCTGCGGATTATATCCAATCATCCTAGACTGAAGCTGAGGATAAAGATGTCTTCTTCATACACATCAACAGATAAAGCTGACACAAGGTTCCTAGCCCTTCACAGACCTCTTTACATGGTAACAATGAGGAAACTGCAGAATTTCAGAATGCATTCACAAAGAGCTTTCCAAACCTTTTGCAATACTCCACAGGGAATTTTGCCAATGGGCAAAAGTTCTATAGAATTTGAACTCAAACCACAGTTAAAAATTTCAAAGAGAAAAAATCATTAATTAATTTTAACCTATGTATAAGACTATTGTTTTCATAAATATAGATGCACATATAATTTCAGTACAATATTTTTTGATGTGGTATGTTGACTCTTACAGTGAGGTGTACTCCAGTCTCTGGATCTTGTTTCTTAAAACATTCCACATGCTGAATGGTCTTTATATCACTTGCCTACCCTTTCACAAACTGTTAAGTGATCCTTAAAAACTCTTTAGCCTGCTTATTATTCTTAATTGCCACTGCATCTGTGGGAATGCCATTCCCCAAGACTAATCTAAGATTTCACAGCACTTGAGTGAGCATCTTTAAAAGAAAGACAAACAGAGGTCTTCGCTTCTCTTCACAGCCTCTGAGTAGCATTGCAGCAATCTTTTTCAGGCACAGAATGCCAACAACCTTTGCACATGGACAGGAAGTAATTTAGCATTATGTCATAAGCCTGAAACTTTTCTATGTTCTCTTTTCTGAGCTGCTTACTGATGAATCAAAAGATACATTATGTATTCAGTGGGTGTACTTTGGCTTGAGCAAAACTACACACACACAGAACTGTCCTACCCAACACAGAGTTTAAACTTTGGGTTTTTTTTTTTTTTCTTTTTTTTTTTTTTTTTCTGTACAGCAATTATTTCATGAATCTTATCATGCTCCTTGGAATCACATTTTCATCAAAACCTTTCTTACCATTTCTAATTTGCTGGGAGCACATTTATCTATGGCATGTGACTCACCCCAAACATTTGTAAAAGAACAAGTGTACGTATAACTAGAGAGACAAAGTGTATAAACTGCTACGAAGCCAATCTCATTTTGCATATTCCATCTGAATTCTTGTCAGGCTTGGAGCCAAAATTATTCTGGCCAGGCTGTATAAATATGAAGGAATATAAGTAAATCAGGCTAGGCTGAACACTAGTAAAAGGTCATACTGAACAAAATTTTATCTACTACAACTACTGACCTGCTACTCCAAGAACTTGTGAAAGAGAGCATAAAAACTACAAACAGTCATCTGAGGAGGTTCACCGCTCTTTCTAACAACTGCTGAATATGTCTAGTAGTTCTTGAAAATTATTGATGCAGGTGTTTTTCAGACTTAGTTTAACATTATTATGAGGATAAGCACAGCCTTCCTGTAGCATCAGACAAGTGGCTTCAGTTAAAGTTTCAAGATTATTCTTCTGAATAGAAAAAAAAATCCTTTCCTTTCAGATTAAAGTCATGTTGACTTTCATGTTCAGATGTCCTTGAATCTCAAAACTATCTGAACCACATCTTGGAACTGAAAGTGGTTCCTAGCTTTATTAACAATGCATGTTTTAGCAAGAAATTCTTCTTACCATGTTGTCAACATTTCCTGCTTTTCTTTCCTTCACGGTTGTCTTTCATAGCAACATAAACAGCACTGAGGTCACTTTCTTCTCTATTCTGCTCATTCAATTAGTAGCAAAAGATAAGTATTACGTAAAAGAAGGGAAGCTGCTGATAGGCTTCGGAAAATTCTGTTTCATTGGCAAGGAATTTCTTTACTCAACCTACCTTTTCTTGATTCTGGCAGTGAAGACAATCACATTCAAAGCAATACTGGCGCATCAGTTGCTTTTGGCGTTCACTGGTGGGCATCAGTGATTCAATATAGCTGATGGTGAGCTGTGTGCAGTACATACAAAACCAGAGTTGGTATATTGTACAAAAATTCCATATTTGGTGTATGTATAGCTATGGTAACATTTCTGAATACAACATTTTTCCAACATAAAATTTTATCTTAACAGCTGATTTCCTAGAAGAAAATGACTACTTCTACAAAGGGCAGGGGAGGAGGGGAAGGCCAAAAATAATTTCCATGGAGGAACACTTTTTCACATTTCCAGATCAATATTGCTTGAAATTATTAATCCCCCCAAAATTATCACTATTTCAACTTTTCATCCTAATTTAGAAGATAAAGAAAAAAGAAAAGAGAGAGAAAAGAGAGAAGCAGCTCAGTATGTGAATTCCCTGTGCATGAAATCTCATTGTCTGTCTAGCTCCAAAGCTTAAGTATGTATTTAGCACTGGTGTTATACAACATCCAACCTTCTCCAAAAATTTTGTATCAGGGAAGCCCCTACTTTATTGCACATATATGTTTGAGCCTAAGGAAAGCTCCTCTTATGTCATACCCATCTTCAGTATGTCTGTGATGTTTCCTTTGTGACTAAGGAAGCACAAAAGCACTTCAAAGTTGTTGACAAGAAAATTTATTAAAATGATAAAAGAAAATGCTTACATTTGTGCAATTTTCAACTCTCATGCTGTACAGAGTGAATTCCAACAAACTACAGAGAAGTCTGTAGTTTGTTCACTTTGACGCCTGCCAGAAGGAGTTTTATAGGGCTAACCATGTGTAGAGTTCTTCAAATGTCTAAAGTGCTGCACAGGCACAAACTAATGATAAGGAAAAGAATATAACAAAATAACAGCCCAGCTCAGACCAGCATTCAGTCATACATGCTATTGAGTGATTACACTATATGCCCAACACACTTCAAAACACTCCAGAGAGGTCAGAGCTAAAAAAATCAGGTCATATTATTTCATCCTGAGCCTAGGCACTTCAACTAATTGGGAGAATTTTCACATGGCTCTCAGTTAAATCATGAGAGTCCACTCAAAGAAATTACAGGAAAACCTAACCAATTTGTAGTAATGACTATGAAATCCATTGTCAGAACCTGCATTTTGCAAATTAGTGAGCATTCTAATTAAATGAGCAATTAACAAGTAACTAAAACAATGCCTGCATTTTTTCATATGTTATTACAGTGTCATTTGATTACATTTTGAAGGAGGACTGTATTAAAAGAAGACTACTGAGATAGCAAAGTCAAGTATTTAAAATGATAAGCAGATAGCCTGCTGAAAAAAATAACTATGGTCCCATAATTGAAGATTAATAGTATAATTAATGAAAGGGACACATTAAAGTTCCACAGATAATCAGTAGTTAGAAAGTGTGAGAACTTTGTTAGGATTTGCATTCTATATAATGCTGTTCTGTCCCAGCTTGTGCACATCTGAGCTGAGAGGGGGTTAATTTCATCACTGTTGGTTTACAGCAGAACAGTCTGTACTACTCATTTACACAGGAGCTGTAAGCTTCCCTCTGAGCTTTCTGTGGTGAATGGATGGAAATTTTTTTGCCCATTTCTTTTCCATTCTTCTCCCAAGCTTGGTCTCTTGGGAGATTCTCTCCAATCTGCCCTTCTTCTCATTCTCTCTCTTCTCTGCCCCTGGGCACGAGTATCCAGTCTTACTCTCCACCCCTGGTTACCTAAACCTGGTTTCCACCCGCAGTCCTAGCTCCTTACATAGCCATTCTTGGTACAATGGGCTGATTTCGTCATCCTGCTGGTCCCAGATCTGCCCTTCTGCCACCCCTGCATGCTTCATCTTACACCTTTTCCCCATATTTGATCACCAACACTATTACTCTCCCAAGTTAACAGTCCTTGTTGCCCTACTCTGGTTTCTCAATCATCTTCAGTGACCCCACCAACTTTGTCCTCTTTTCTTTCCCCATCTGGTCCTACTCTGCATCCTCCTGGGTGTGGTAAGAAAGATCTGTCTCACTTCCCACAAAACAGTTTCCAGTCAAGCTGTAGTCCTAACCTCATCCTTCAGTCATTCCAAGTCCAATTTCCATCTCCCATCACAAGCCTCTGATTTTCATGTTTCCTTGTAACTCACAAGTGTTTTCTATCAAAATCATTACACACACTGGCTTGTTCCCTGTCTCTTATCCTCTGGATAAGCATCACTGGTTCTGACCCATGTCCTACTGGGCTTTAGGTTCAGGTGGCATCCAGCAGTAAAAGGGATTTAATCAAGTTCAGGCACAGTGCCAGATAGCAGAAATCTTCTAGGAAAAAAAAAATCATTCACATGAGATTAGTTTATTCTTTGCCAAAATACTTAAGACAATGGTTGAAACCCCATCATTAGGCAGGGTTCATTTCTAGTACTGCAAAACAAAGACATAGCCAACATCAAACATGCTTTATCTATCTTTAGCCTACAGGCTTCATCCCTTTCTCTCTTTCCACTTTGGGCTTTTTTTTCTTTTTTTTTTCTTTCATGTTGCAGAAACCTTGGAAGTAGGAACAAGTTTGAAACCAGCAATTGCTTTTTCAGAAGTTACCAAACAGTTGTGGATATGAACAGTCACATAACAACCTGCTCTGGATTAGAGCATATGACTCCTCAGAAGGAGGAGGAGAAAAGAGAAGAGGCTTCGTCACATTCATACCTCCTTTTAGTGTTTTAACAACTTGCTGTCAGAGGCCCAAGTCCAAATTCCCAGTCCTGCCAGCAAAAATCCGTAGGTGAAAAAGTGTTTGTAGCTGGCAGACAGAGTAGGAAAATGTAATTAGAATATTTAGAAACATGACCAACCTAATGGTGACTAAGTCTGTACTAATCATTTTATCATTTAAACATAAAAATTCTGTATTCAAGTCTTTCTCCTACACTTGTTTTAATTTTGGATCCGTCCATTAGATACAAGGCTCATTTAACTTGCACATATTTAGGAAATACGCCCATTTATCAAAGGTTGTCTTAATGGTATTTGCATGTGGGATGTATGGTATTAATTAAAACATTATTTCAGCTGACCAAAGCTTGCCTCTTTATTGCATAGCTTATAAAGAATGCAGTAAATCTTTTCCCCCAAGCTGGAGAATATATATTAAATAACATTTATGAAGGCAGGGAATTATTTAACAGCCGTGAGACTTATTGACTCTCAAGACTTTCTCCTTAGAAATGCAGCACTGTCTGAGCCCTGCTTCTTGCTCTGACACAGAAATTCTTTAACCATGTTAAAGACTAGTAGTTAGTTTCTCATGTTCTTCATCTGCCAAATGAGGTGCACAGAATTTTCCAGTACTGCCATGCTGCAGTGGACTTAATTTATGGGTTTTGTAACAGACTATAAGCTATAAAATTTCCTACTACAGAGGATTCTGTAGAAAATTAAAATAAATTATTTTAATGCAAAAGGCTGGGAAAAAAAGTGAGTCTTCTTGTTTTCGCAATCATGGGTCTCAGGGTGTTAGGTGTTAGGCAGGGTTGTGTACAAAAATCTGCTCCTGAGACAGAGTTATATAAGTTGTGAACAGCCTGTGCTCTTTCTGTTTTGGCATATGTGATCAAAACGCCTTCTAATTCAGAGCAAAATTTCTTTTTAAAAAATGTAATGTGACAAACATACACAGGTATAAAACTTCCCCTCACAGAATTATAACAACAGAAATATCACATATCTTGGTTGAAATCTGTCATGAAGATTTAATTGCTGGTCATCTGAAATGATGATTTGTATTTGGTATGAATTTAAAAAATCAGCTGTTCTGTAAGATTAAAGTCTGTTATGTGACTTTCTGCAGAAAGATACAAATTTGCTTTAACCGAACTCTGTGAAGCCATGCACTCATTTTGGAGCAGAATTGGACCTCAGCTCATACATCCTGTCTCTCAGCAGGACTAATTGATTTGAGCTGTGCACTGAACTAACTGTAGCTGTACAACTTCTGATTGGAGAATAGGCAAAATGAGCTCATGTCTGCCTGCAAAACACCAGGTAGACACTGTAATTAACAAAAAGTCAATTGAAATTATAGCACACATCTTGATGCTGTTTAAAGTGGTTAGTTAAGGGTAGGGAAATGATGAAGACCTCTTCAGAGCAGGATGCTTGTCTTTTTGAGAAAGTAAAGTAGCTGATAGGCTACCTTATCACTGAAGGAGCACTGGTGATCTCTAGGTGAATAATTTTTGCTTTCTTATAATCCCTCCCCATATCCTACCTTTCTTTGCAACACTTAAATTTCATTTTTGCACAGAAGAAAGTGCAAGAAAGGAAATCTTTGTATACTGTCAAAGTAACATCACCTAAAATTACAAAAGCTGTGATAGTCAGCACTACAACTGGCATTATCTTGAGGAGCAAAAAGGTATTATAATTAGTTTTGAGCTTCTGGAAGCAAGTTTCAGACAGTCCTGTAGTCTTTTAAGTAGGGACATATAGAATAAAATCCCCACAAAAATCTGTTATTTCTTTCTTCCTGCTATTAGATTCAGTTATGCTCAAAAACCTGGTACAGTGTACGAAACACTTTCTAGCCACCTCGACCCCCAATCTATGCATGGAGATCAACAGTTGCTCCCAAGGCTTGCCCTCCTTTCACTTCTTTTGTCCTCTCCTCTGTTCCCTATCTGTTTCATCCCCTTTATGCCAGTTGCAGGACAGAAAACACATTTAGTGGTAATCACTACCAGCTGGTCAAGCACTAGAATTTGGGGTATCAACACAGAATCACACAGAATCACAGAATCACTAAGGTTGGAAAGGACCTTCAAGATTATCAAGTCCAACCATTAATCCAGTGCCACCATGATCAACACAAACCCATACTGCCTTATATGAATTATAGCAGAGTCAGAGCATGGATGGGGAAGAAAAAAAAGAAAAGCTACAAATCTTGAAGGAAGTTTCCTGTCAGAGACAAATTTTCACTTTAAAAATTGTACATTTAATGAGGATTATAAATGTCATTTAAACAGACAAGTAAGTTATATAACAATAGGAACGAAAGCTGTTATTTTGAACATCAACTGAAGCATTCATTGGCAAAAGCCAATGGGAATGTAGTATGTTTTTGCTTAAAAAGGTAACTTTCTGCCCTCAAAGAGCATGCAATTCCATAGAATGACATTGGTATAAAACCCAAATAATATACCCAGAGATAAACCTGAACTTCTGGTTTCTGAAGCAAAATTTAAGGACCAGACACTCCTCCATCTTGCCAGCTCTCAGTATTTTATTATGATTCCTGCAATACACTTTGTTTTCTTAAAGCTTCAACTGGGGAAACCATGCAATTATTCAGGAATCCCTTCTTTCAATGCCTACAAAAAAGTAACATTCATGACTCATGATTTCTTAGTGCTTCAGGACTGGCAACACTATCTTTGGCTCAAAAAAAGGCCTAGATGGCTAGAATGTTTGCATATAATTTTAGGAGTGATTAGTTTTCCAAATATACAGCACCATCCGATTTAGAACTTTCATTCTATAAGGATTCAGGCAATCATTTTCTGGCTCAGGAATCCTAATTTTCTGCTGCCCAAAATACATTTTGGTCTTAGGATTTGAACAGATTTCAAAGCCCAAACCAAAATTAAATTAAAAAACACTAAATGCCACATGTCTGCCTGTCAAAAACATGCAAAGCCAACGAAATCTGCCTAGACATGAGACTAAAGCTGAATGGAAACAACTTCCATCAGGACATAAAAACTTTTTGAGATTCTCATAATCTTGCATGCTTTTTATCACTGACTTGATAAACATGATTACTGTGTATAGCATGAGCACTCTAAAGTGTGGTTGGGGCATAAATGCTATTTCTGGATAAATCTGTATCACACTGCAGCAGCTACATCCAATGTAATGATATCTCTTCTGGTTTACAACCAAAATGAGGTCTGCTGGTATCTCCCTCTTTATATAATTGTGAGATGGCCACAGTGGCCAGCGACCTCCAACTCCCCATGTCTCTGTTTTCTCTGTGATTATAGGTGGTCAACAACTCCTTAACATGAGTAAATTGTTATAGTGTCCTCTGATAAGAGAGCACTACAAATGTGCAAAAATATTTTTACTTCTCACTGGCCTAGTGAACACATCATATTGCAGTGGTTGATATTTTCCTGGCAAGGGTCCAGAAGCCCTATCAAGTTTGTTCCTGTATGGATAGTAAAGCCATGTTCCTCTTCTACTAATCTCAGCTTGACTTACTATTTAGCTTCTCATTTCTAATAAATCTTAGTGCTTATTTACTTTCTATTAATTATTACATAGGGGATCTCATTCTGTCTAAATCTAGTATAATTTTGAACAGGGTAAGGCAAGTTTTCTACTGCTTATAACTATTTAAGTTTTCTTGTTGCCTCACGACTTGAAACAATGTTCATCTTACCACCTCGGAGCACTCAATTCGTTCAGAAACCCAGTCAGATTCTCCCATAATGTGTGTTTTCTCTCCCATTAGCTCAGATCGTGACCTCAGTAATGTAAGTAAAAAGCTCATAACGAGTAATATAGTTTCATGTACATAGGTGTGCAAATTCAATACATGGCTATTAAGAAAACTGAGCTTACCCTGCTGCAGGCAAGCAGTAAGGTAGTGTGGAAAGAAGTTGTACCAGATCCACCAGGCAGAACACAAAATGAAAAACAGTAGCAGTTGTGTAAGAAGAAAAGTAATTGGGTGTTGAAAATAATATTAAACTGCTGACTTGTATATATCCTCATAATTATTTTCTTTTCCTTCCCTTTCCCATAACAGTTCTAAACTAATATTCACTTCGTATCTTTACTTTCTCACTTATGCCCACTTTTTTCCTTAGACACATCCTTATTCAAAGCAGTATGTACCTCAGACTGAGACTTTTATTTCCAGGTAAGTCAAGAGGGCACCTGCTTTAACACAGTGTATATATATGTATATATATAAAATCTTACATGTTCCTTAAGGCAAGTTTTCCTTTCAGTATCAAAACCAGAAGCAACAGTCACAACAAAGACACCAGAACCTGAGCTTTTTAGAAAGTTCTGACTTTATTTTAGTGCCTCATTGGAGGCAAAGTTTTTTAGAAAATATAATACACCCACATTAGGTGCTGCCATTTTAAAGCCTGTATTCACACAACTGCAAACAAACTGGTCCTAGCTGCCCTACTTCATAACTTACATTTTTCCTGATCGCCGTACAAATTACTTGTAACTTACACCATACCTGCTTCACCACTGATTTTAACCTAGAGACTTCTGTGGGTTACAGACCACTAATGCTAAGTCTAAAATTTACTCATAGTTTCACAGCTGTAGCACAGTCTGCACGGTGGTCATACCTGCAAGGGAATTCTACTTCATTTCTCACTCCAGAACCACCCAGGGCCACCTGAGGCCCTCTCCCACTTTGTAAAAGCTGCTTGTTACAAAGAATTGCTTTATGAAATTTACCCAGAAAAATATATCCACATACCTAAAAATAAGATAGCTTCAGAATTTGGAATTCTAATAATTAACTCAAATGCATCCTGGGAAGATGCATTAAAATCCACTGTATATTTAAATAAACAACCCATCTTGGTGAATTTGGAAGCAAAGATGAAAGTTATGGTATATGGATAAAATGAAAGTGTCTATAATTTGGCTGAACAAGAATGCCAGACCAAAAGATGTCTACACTTAATAGCTCCACAAAGGTATACTGCATCCTAAAATATTTCTTTTGGCGAAAAGGTAAGCATGCAAAAGCATTTCTGTTGGTTCTCCATGATATTTTGCCTAACATATTTTACCATTTATTTATTTTGATGGCCTACCATCTTAGAGAAGGATACATTTAAAAAGAAAACACTTCCTAGGAAAGAAAAGAGATACTAATTCTAAATTAGAATACGTATGCCCTTGATCTTCCCAGAGTTTGAAGCAGAGGCATGAACCGTATTTCCATTAGGTCATGATTTTGAAATGACCAATAGCTAGGACTGCACAGATCATTAGTGCATGTAAAGTTACATATATACACGTGTCTTTGCAGGCCTTACTAAGCAAATTCAATATTGCATTTATGCAAAAGACATTTACTTTGAAATGCTTACCTAGCCACAAATGATTGTTTTCAAGGTAATACAAATGCTGTCATAAAAACAAAGCTGAAAATACCTTAGCTCAAACCAGAAATCTCTTGAAAAGGATATTTTGAAGTATGTGTTGTAGTGAAATGGACAAGAAAGAAAAACCTTGTCTTGGTACTTTCACTGTCGATGAAAGGTTTACTACAACAACATGGTTGCAGCCTGACAAATGCTTATTGTTGCAATGACTTAGTGAACACTGCATTCCACCCAGAAATATTATAAGTGTTTCCATCAGGGTAAAGATGTTCAAATACAAACAAAATTAAGTGCCTAGAGGAGGAAAGGAGGAACAAGAATTTATCAGGATTGCTAGTGATTTATGAGAAGTAATGATTATGGGGCCCAGGCAGTGTGAAGAGATGATTCTATTTATCATTTTCCCCTGATAGCTATGTGCTAGAAAGTGGCATCAATATATCATCAAAATATTAAGCTGGTGGCCCTGCAGTCTGGAATTTATTTAGGGAGATGTCATTGTTGCAGGTGTCTGTGATGGAAGGGAGGACAAGTTAATTACCTCTTCACCCATCTGGATCTCTCGGACAGAGCGAAGTAAAAGCTGGTATCCTTCAAAAACGATCACGCAGTTTGGGTCACAGCTGTGGTTCAGTAAAGACATGCTGTGAGGGGGAGAAAGAGAGAGAAAGAACTTTACACAGGAGCCTCCACTGCCATTCCCCTTTAATAATTTAAAAGTAGCTAACATGATTACATCCGAACTATCAAGCAATTAAGTTATGAAAAAAATAAAATCCCTGGTAAATCAGCTGCTCTTGGTTAGGGGAGGAGAATTAATGCTTAGAAGATTTATATTCATTGCTAATAGGAGCCATGCCTAGTTCTCTTCACATGATTCTGCCTTCTGTGTACTCAGGGTGGGAGTGAGGTGATGGCCTCCCAGTGACTCTCTGAGAGGCCTGACTCAGTGGAGAGGGCAAAGCAGGCAAGTAGGGAAGAAGGCAACCTGGACAGTTCAGAGCAAAAGGTTAGTTCCTTGGGACTGTGTTTTATTTCTGCTGCTTCTGCTCAGTTTCAGGGCACTAACCTTATCGGTTACCCCGACCACATCAGTGGAACTGCAGCTCACAGGGGCCAGCAATCAACCTGTATTTCATATCACATAGAAAATGGAGTACGCTATGTCCCAAAACCAAAGTACTTTGTGTACAGAGTTGAAAGAAACAGCCATTGCCTCTGTTTTACGTGTATTTCGGTTGAGCCTTTGTTCTTGTGGCGTGTGACAGCTGAAGCAGCACAGCTCATTGGGGTGCTGCAGCCACCCTCAAGAGACACACACCTTGGTGGATCTCGACACAAACATGCCCTTCCCTCTTTTCTGAAGACGACTGTTAAGAACAACATCAACAACATCCACTATATACTTTTGAGTCTGATGTTTCATTAGCTGAGAAACAACTGACTTTGCTAGCCCAACATCAATCCCATAGCAGATACGGGGCTGATAGTTCTTCCCCTGTGGGAATGACCCTGGCATCGTCAGGCTGGAAGAAGAATTTTTGGCTTATCCAGGTCCTGGCTTCCTTTATTTGTTTTCCTTGTCTGCCCAATTCAGCAACTCAAAATCCCAACTGTTGTTGGTAAAATAGAGGATGTTGCTGAGGGTCAGAGCCCTGCACCAAACCATGTTTATTCAGTTCTTGACTCTTAAAGGAGCTATCAACAGAAGCCTGACTCTTTTGATATCCCTTCTGGCTTCATAAAATATCTGTGGTTAATCTCCACATGAAGCCAGTAATGTAAACTGGGAAAGAGCCTCCATTTCACTTCCTGTGAGATCACTGGGCATACTCCCAAAGCTGCTGGCAAGGTGATGCAGAGAAGGACCACAGGATTTTATCTGTTTTAAAACATTGGGATGCTGGAGCTATCAAGCCATGCAACAATATACAACCTCTTAATGAGACTAAACAAATTTCATCTCGTGGAAACACTAGTGGTTTTGATGACAATTTCACCTGTAAGTCTATGAACTGATCTGGAAGGACATTTGCCTAGGACTTGGGAACCACAGATTTAAGCTCACAATTTTCCCATCTCAGAGTGATTTGCTACAGCAAAACTCAAATTGCTCTGAACTGACTTGGGAAAGAATGTCTTGCATGCCTTGGCATTGTATTATCACAGAACATAGATAGCCACTTTCTTCAGAGTCAGGGGCTTTTTTCAACCAGAAGAAAACCTTTGACTAATAATAATGCTCCAAAATAATGTTCTATTTTTCCCAAGTATGTGAAAGGATTTGTTTCCATTCAACTATGAAATCAAATGACTGTTCTGTATTTTTCATAACACTAATTCCCCCATCCTCCTAACTGCCTTTCCCTTATCTTTACCACAAAGCAGGCCTCAAGATACTAAGTGTCCTTAGTCAAATCTTACACGTGACATTAGTAGAAAAAGAAACAACAGTGACAGGCCCACTGAGGTATTGACAACATAGTTCAACTGCGCATTTACCAAAAATTGAGGTGGTAAAATATAGTTTTTAAACTATACTTACAAATTTTCCACATTAATAATTATAGCTAACTAAGTCTATGAAAGCAAAGCCTTCCCTGGTACATACTTCTTCCCTAGTAGAAATAATTCAAATATTAACATCCATCTCTCAAGAGGCTTATCTTTTCACCTTAACTGGTTTCTTAGTTATGGTAATTTACTAATAAATGTGTTCAATCTTTTTCTTTCAATTACCAGTTCAGAAGGTTCTTGGCTGCAAAATATCTCTATTCTAAAGCAACGCTGAAGAGGTTTCTTTTTACTAGTCCCAGTCACACATTTTTGACGTCAGCATTTATCCTTACTTAGAAAAGACTACCTCCTCTGTAAAAATAAAATATAAAGATGTATCCTATTTAAACTGTTTTAACTCTGTAATCAGGACTATTAAGAATGTTTTCAACTTGATCATAATTTTTATTCTCCTTTAATTTATTTGCATTTCCCAGTTTCTTGTTTGGACATGTTACCTGCTGCTTTGATGGCCCTTACAGCTACCTAGGAAAAAAGGAAAAAAAACAACATTTCGTGTGAATGAAACAGTGTCCACAGTACCTGGGATATAGGCCAACACCAACATCCTGCATCTCTCCATTACTGATGGTGAAACAGTTACAGGTCACCTGTAAAAACAAGGGAAAAAATCCAGGATTACCAGAATAACTTGGAAACCCCATACTCAAGTGAAAAAAAAACTTTCAAAATAAAATGAAGGGGCAATTGTTAATTGGATGGGAAACATTCAAGCCCAACACTGGTGCTCTTTCATTTTAGCGCAATCACATCTGGGACACACTCTCCTGTAAAACTGCAGTCAATTAAAAGCAGAAATATTAGTATCCTGCAAAAATGTGGGGTTAAACACATGCGGAGGCCCTACTTCCCTGTCCAGAGGTGAAAAAGAAAGCCACCCTACACAGAGCCTGAGAAGCTCAGCCCAGAGACAACATAGCAGGTGACAGTGACTGCTGATGAAAAGAGTGTCTCTTTCCATGTAGGGACTCTTCTGGTGCCAGGCTGTCACAGCACCTTTTAATGAGTACCAGTAGAGCCCAAAGAATACATATGGGACAGTTTTGAAGTAACTAGCAGCTTTGACTGCGGCAACCTGATATGGGCATAAAAAATACAAAGACTGTGCAATAGCATATCTTTCATGTTTCAGGTATTTTGGTTTGCATGTAAAAAGATACCACAAAAAAGCACGTTCAAATTGCCATTCAGGAGAAAAATAACCTTACATTTGATCTCAGATATTCAGCTTGACAGTGTATTCTTCCCTCATATATTACATACAAAACTAAAGTGGATTTAGAAAAGAGTGGAGAAAAATGGAATTTGCTTGCAAGTAGATATAGCCCCACCCCAAACTATCAGACTGAAGTTTCATGTTGTTCCACTCAAAGATAGATCAGCACTTTCTAAGTGATTAGCAAGTACCATTTTCATGGGCTTAAACAAGAACCAGAACCCAATTCCTAATGTATTTTATAAATATCTGATTATGTTCGGAACAGCTGAATTTGTATTTTAAAAATTTTTTTAGATTGTTGGTCCATTACCAATAACACACTAATAAAATATTTTGTGTAGAAAACACTGCATGATAGTGCGCTTACAAGAAAAGTCCCAGGTCTCTTCTGCGTAACATTAGATTGCTAATATCATTAATTCTCATTAGAACAGAAAATGAGTTAGAGTAGGATTTGGCAGACATGAAAATATGATTTGAAAGTTGCAGTTTTATCTATAGAGTAATTGCCCAGAACAGTAAATTACACACCTCTATTTTAAAGAGGTACACTGAACAATTTAATAGTATATATCATCCTATAAATTGACAAATTATTATTTATGGGAGCATTAACCATAAGGTGAAAATGAAAACCTCTTTCAAAATTTCTCATAAATTCTGACAGAAATGTTAATTTAAATAAATGTACATGCAGTAGGGCATGTGTTTTTTTAAATGGTTAGACAATACTTTGATTAGTCTATTATTTATGTAACCCATTCAAATGTTCCTGATCAATTACCAAAAGCACACATCTTAATTATTTCTTTCCTGCTGGCATTGGATATAAAGTGTCAGACAACTTCTGAGCAAAGACTAGTCCATTTAAAGTGGCAATTATCCTGGTTCTAAAAATATTGACTTGATTTTGGTGTTTATTGAAAAAATAATGCTTTCCAGGTAAAAGAGAAAGAAAACCAGCTTACGTCGACCATAGCTCTCTCTAATGGATTATGAAGTAGCAGAGGTCAAACGTCTCTCAGAACTAAATGAATACCTCTTCCTTGCAAATCTCCTATTATTATCATAAACTTGTTTATATTAACAATGTTGAATTTTGATCACTGTAGAGTTATAGAGACTGTTTTGTCATTTTCTATTAAAGGTATGTATTCTATTATGTGAAAAGTTTCACGCTCAGAAGTTGCAATAGTTTTACTTTCTCCTTTTCATAAAAATGCATTCACTTTTCTACCACGATATACGTGAAGAAAAATGTGAGATGAATGGATGCTCTAAGATTCAGACATCAAGACCATCTTTCAAGAGTAGTTTCCCATGAGGCACTTTTTAAGCTCTCCGTTTTAGATATTTTCACAGTATGCAGTTGCATCTCAATACCCCACTGAGGTAGTGTGCCATCTAATTTCTAATTATTTGCAGTTTCAGATATGAGACTGGGAATCCAAAATATACAGAGCCAGATCTAAAAAGGTATTTAAGTATGTAAACAAAGGCAGAAGTCTAACTGGTCCCATGAATTTTGAGCTAGATGATTTTGCTCACAGCCCTATCAGAGCCATAAGAAGTTTCAGGTTTGATTAACCTCCTAACCTCCTAGGTTAGTGTGCAGACTACACCAAGTTGGGTGGCAGTGTTGATTTGCTGGCAGGTAGCAAGGCTCTGCAGAGGGATCTGGACAGGCTGGATCGATGGGCAGAGGTCAACTGTATGAGGTTTAATAAGGCCAAGTGCCGGGTCCAGCACTTCGGTCACAACAACCCCATGCAATGCTACAGGCTTGGGGAGGAGTGGCTGGAGACCTGCCCGGCGGAAAGGGACCTGGGGGTGCTGGTTGACAGCCGGCTGAACATGAGCCGGCAGTGTGCCCAGGTGGCCAAGAAGGCCAACAGTATCCTGGCCTGTATCAGAAATAGTGTGGCCAGCAGGAGTAGGGAAGTGATTGTGCCCCTGTACTCGGCACTGGTGAGGCCACACCTCGAATCCTGTGTTCAGTTTTGGGCCCCTCACTACAAGAAGGAGGCTGAGGTGCTGGAGCGTGTCCAGAGAAGGGCAACGAAGCTGGTGAGGGGGCTGGGGCACAAGTCTTATGAGGAGCGGCTGAGGGAACTGGGGTTGTTTAGTCTGGAGAAGAGGAGGCTGAGGGGAGACCTTATTGCGCTCTACAAATACCACAAAGGGGGTTGTGGTGTCATGGGTGTTGGTCTCTTCTCCCAAGTAAGTAGCAATAGGATGAGAGGAAATGGCCTCAAGTTGCGCCAGGGGAGGTTTAGATTGGATATTAGGAAAAAATTCTTTACTGAGAGAGTGGTCAAGCATTGGAACAGGCTGCCCAGGGAGGTGGTGGAGGCGCCATCTCTGGAAGGGGTCAAAAAACGTGTGGACGTGGCACTTCGGGACATGGTTTAGGGGGCATGGTGGTGACAGGTTAATGGTTGGACTTGATGATCTTGAAGGTCTTTTCCAACCTTAATGATTCTGTGATTCTAGGAGACAATCTTTCCCTGCCTTTTAAACTCAGGTATGAAAAAGACAGTGATACACACATAATGTGTACTACAGATAGTAAACTTTGTTATGGTTGCTTTCTGTCCTCTGCAAGCAGAGAGAGGAACTGAGATGGTGATGGTGAGAGGAAGATCTCATCATTTACGGTGTGAGAAATTCTGATATAATGACAATCCTTCACATACAGTTAGTAGCTGGTAACAGGTATCAAACATGAAATCTCCATCATCTGTCAAATGAGGATGGGGTTGTTTGGGTTTTTTTGTTTTAAATTTGTTTTGAAGTCTCTAAAATCTACTTAATTTCCTCTACATTTCTATTTATGTAAACAATGAAACAATGTAAACTTTTAAGACATTTTAAATCTCAAAGTTAAAGATCAGTCCCATCAAAGGGACTGATTTCAGGGACTGAGATTTCAGTCCAGAAGTCTACCACAAGAGTTACGTTGTAGACCACACCTCCCAAGAAACAAAACGAAGGCGGCATGTCTTTTACAGAACATCTGAAGAAAAATGCATTTTCCTAGCTTCCCAGGATTCACAAACATTTACATGCAGCTCAAATAACAGTTAAATCTGGAGTATCTAACACTGCTTGCAGGGGAGCACAGGTAGGCTTCTTGTTCCTGAGGCAACTGTTTACAGATCAAAACCTACTGGGACTGGAAGTTAACAGACTTCATTTCTAGGGGAAATAACCCCAAGGCAAAGCAAACAACGTTTTTCTCATGAATCACAGTATTTCTTTCAGGTTTCATGGTCACCTTGCATTGGTTTTTTTTCTGCCTTAACTGACCTACTTCATACTACAATCAGGTTCTGATTCTGTGTGATCCCAGATTTTAAAATAAGACAGAATAAAGAATTCTCAGCAATCTGGCACTTCAAGAAATGGGTTCTTCCTTACAAAGGCATGGCCTTGTTATCTTAACTCCTGCAGGATCATTTATCTCAGGTATTTAATTTGCATTGTTGTTCAGCTTGTCCCTTCCGATTCCTCTAAAAATTCCTCTCTCTACAGCTATGCAGCACTAAAACTGCATACCCACATAGGGAGACAGAACAGAGTTTTCACAGTGTTTGTTATACCCCCAAATAAGGAAAAATGCCCACATATTTCAGAACTTCAAAGTTGCAAAGTCAAATTCCTTACCATTTCTAAAATGTCTGAAATAACACATCTCCCAGCTTGAAAACCGAGTGAAAATTCCCAGTGGAGAGTCACAAACTTTTCAAACCTTTGCAATGCAAAACTTACTTAGGAGTATCCTAGAGCTCTAAAGGCTTATCATCCTAGCCTGGACTGGCTCTACAGTTCAACAAACAATTTAAAGAATCAGTTCTCAGTGTTTGAGTTGCCTCCATGGCAATAAATCCTGCATGTTTATTTAAAAGGAACTATTATTTCAAGCGACAAACAGTATTATATAAACTGGTTGAATTAAATAAAAAGATTTGTTCTTTTGAGAGACTGCACATGTTTTGGAGAGCTATCCTCTAGACAGTAAGGTAACCCAAGTAGAAGACATGATCTTTCCCAGACTGGTAAAAACACAGAGAGTAAACTAACTTTACTGACTGACCATTACTCTCAGGCATACTTTATCAGCAAAGAAAAATTAGTGCAACCTGTTAAATTTTATTTCCTCTCTGAGTGACATATGAAAACTCTGTAAATTTACACTGTAAGGAGGTCTCTGTTCTCAAGGCATCTGGAGCTACTGTCTGAGCAATCTCTGTCTGTGCCAGACCCACAGTCTAGTGGACAGCCATGAAGATTTATTCTGGGGTTTGCATTTGACAGGATATGAAGGCTTCAGTTTAGCAACATACCGAGTTCAATTTGCTTTCAGTTCAGACCTCATTCTTATTGCTTTATACTATGGATTTGCATTTGGGTTAAATAAAGCAG